TATTAAACAGCATGTCACCCAGCCGAGTTTTAAAATGATGCAGGGGAACCAAAGTGCTCAGTTTTAAACATGTTTGCAGACTGTTCCAATTTAGTGGAGCTGCACAACTAAAAGCTTTCTTCCCTAAGACAGTCCTAGCACTTGGCACATTTAATAAAACAACATCATGAGATCTCAGGCAATATGTACTTTCAATTCGTCGAGAGATCAGAGAGCAGATATAAAAAGGTAGTTTACCCAACATGGCTTTGTAAATGAACATGTACCAATGACTGAGCCTCCGTACAGTTAGTGAAGGCAGACTTGCCTTGGCATACAGGGTACAGTGATGAGTAAGTGCTTTATAGTTAGTAACAAATCTCAGGGCACTGTGATAGGCGGCATCTAACTTTTCCAGGCAATGGGCAGGTGCATTCATATAGATGCAAACAATGCACGTAAGGTCTCTCTCTCGCTCTCTCGGGCCATACATACACACACCCTCCCAGTCCTCCCATTAGCCAGTCGGTGCCTGCCGGTGAGCGTGGAAGTGTGGTCTGCCACAAGCGGGCGGCAGGAGCGGGGCTATCAGCATCAGCTTGTAGATGGTATTTTAAACTCGATGCGCTCTGAAACTACGGGGCGGCCGAGGAAAAAAAATACACATGCGTTAATCGCGTTAAAATAATTAGTGGCGTACATTTTTTTATTATCGGTATCGGTCTTGAGAAGCAGGAAGTTATCGGTTTCAAAAAACCAATATCGTGCATCCCTAGTTATTATTTTCATCCAGGCTAATCCAATGTACAATATAGGGAATTGTTAGATTATCGCTTTATCCTATTTAGCTTAAGTGTCCCCTTGACAATAAGTTCCTCTGCAACATCCTCTGATTCCTGCTCTTTTTCCAGTTGGTTGGCGCGTACAGACCCAAAGGACGTGGCTCGGGTGGAGAGCAAGACTGTGATTGTGACCAAGAACCAGAGAGACACCATCCCCATCCCCGCTGGGGGGGTGAAGAGTCAGCTGGGCAGCTGGATGAGCAATTCAGACTGGCAAACAGCCAGACAGGAGCGCTTCCCGGGCTGCATGACGGGTACGTTGTGGGTCAGCGGAACAGCATGAGAAGTCGCTTGTAGAGGAAATATGTTCTGCATTAATGTGTTATCCATTCTTCTCTCTGCAGGTCGCACCATGTATGTGATTCCCTTCAGTATGGGTCCTGTCGGCTCGCCTCTGTCTAAATATGGTGTCCAGGTACTGACTTCTTCCTTTCAATACTTAATCTTCAGGGAAAGAGCATGCAATAAAGCGATAAGCCTTCCTATCACACAATGTGTTCGAGTTATCGCTGAAGCCCTTAATGGTCATTACTCACTGAACTTTCAGGTTGTAGATCAGCATGATAAACATTGTCTTCCACTTGAAGGTGACTGACTCACCGTACGTCGTGGCCAGTATGGGGATCATGACGCGCATGGGCACCCCCGTCCTGAACAAACTGTCTGAAGGAGAGGAGTTTGTCCGCTGTCAGCACTCACTGGGACGACCTCTACCACTCAAAGGTACACATTCAAAGAACCTGCAACAAGTTGTTACAAGAGTTTTGTATTTCCAACTTACAAATCTCCCCTCTCTGCCTCCTCTCCAGCCCCCCTGATAAACTCGTGGCCCTGTAACCCGGAGCAGGTGCTGATTTCTCACCTGCCAGACACCCGGCAGATCATGTCCTTTGGCAGCGGCTACGGAGGAAACTCTCTCTTGGGGAAGAAGTGCTTCGCCCTCCGCATCGCATCCCGCATCGCCAAGGACGAAGGCTGGCTGGCCGAGCACATGCTGGTGAGTGTGGGACCTTGCTGCCTAAAGCTGCCCTTGCATGATCAATTATTTCATCTGTGCACACCGCGAGGTATGGTGCAAATCCTTGTGGTGAGAACAGCTAGTTTAGTTACATTTTTCGACTACTGCTGAACATAGTTGGTTAAAAGGTGCCGAGTCATGGCGCTCTCTCACTTTGACTTATGATGGGGTTAAAAATGATATTCACCTCTCTCCCCTCCTCAGATCCTGGGTATCACCAACCCTCAGGGGGTGAAGCGGTACGTGGCAGCAGCCTTCCCCAGTGCTTGTGGTAAAACCAACCTGGCCATGATGAAACCGTCTCTACCCGGCTGGAAGGTGGAGTGTGTGGGCGACGACATTGCGTGGATGAAGTTTGACAGCCAAGGTGAGAAGGAGGAGGATGTCTCCCACACATAGAATTGCTTTGTTTCCTTATGCGTGGTGTCAATAATCCTGACGTCTGTCTCTGCAGGGAAACTGAGAGCCATCAACCCTGAGAACGGATTCTTCGGCGTGGCTCCCGGCACCTCAGATAAGACCAACCCCTACGCCATGGCCACCATCGCCAGAAACACCGTGTTCACCAACGTTGGCGAGACCAGCGATGGAGGAGTGTGGTGGGAGGGCCTCGACCCCCCTGCCCCTGGTGTCTCACTCACAGACTGGCACGGCAAATCCTGGAAGCACGGTAAGATAGTTTACACATAGAGCTATAATTTGATAATGTATTTTGTTATCTCTTTGTTTCATTACATAAACTATGCTCTCCTAAAAAGTCCAAACTAACTTAAGAGTAACTAACAGCTATAGTATTTATAGTGCCATCTGGTGGTGTGTCTAAGCATCACATTTTTAGAAATGGAGATTTATGATCAGACATTGTATGAACTATAATCAGGTGATCGGTTAAAAACGCAATTTTACTTTTAAGGTAGAATAAACGTTGTTCTCCTCTGTATTAAAGGAAGCTCAACGCCGTGTGCCCACCCCAACTCCCGCTTCTGTGCCCCGGCGGCTCAGTGTCCCATCATTGACCCCCTGTGGGAGAGCGAGGAGGGCGTTCCCATCGACGCCATCATCTTCGGAGGCAGGAGGCCTGAAGGTTTGTGCTGCTCTCAATTCACATCGAAGGAAATAGTTGCCAAACGTTGTTGATAGGCATAGCATTTGTATACATTACATTACATTGCATTTAGCTGACGCTTTTATCCAAAGCGACTTACAATAAGTACATTCAACCAGGAAGACACAACCTTGAAGAAAACAGAATCATATAAGTACATCAGGTTTCATAGAGCCAAACATTTCAAGTGCTACTCAACTGGCTTTGGGTAAGCCAGTCCTTTATTAGTATAAAAGTGCTTCGTTAATAGTTCTAACGTTCGAAGTGGAGTCGAAAGAGATGAGTTTTCAGTTTGCGCCGGAAGATGTGCAAGCTATCTGCCGTCCTGATGTCAATGGGGAGCTCATTCCACCATCTTGGAGCCAGGACAGCAAACCCACGTGTTTTCGCCGATACATGTTTTACATTTTAGTAATTAGCTTAAGTTCGTCTACAGGCCTCTTACATCTCAGCCATGTTGTCTCATCCTTCGACAGCACAATCAAATCAACTATATTACGTAAACATACAAGTACCTGTACATTAACTGTGACACGTATTGATGTTGTCAGGAGTCCCTCTGGTTTACGAGTCTTTCAACTGGCAACACGGAGTCTTTGTTGGAGCCTCCATGAGGTCTGAGGCCACGGCAGCTGCTGAGCATCACGGTACAAACTCACATTTATTTTTCAATACCTTTTTAATAATCTATTTTCTTTTATTTATATTTTTCTTCCTACTTTTCAATTGAATTTGGGTTTAAACTTTTATCTTTTTTTTTTTAAATAAATAAAATAGAAAGTGACTGATTTAACACTGATTTGATTATATATTGTCTTATTATAGTGACTAGTTTTTAGATTGTCATCAATTTGGCTGTATCAGCCATTAAAGGGTTGTCCAATTGATAGGGTGTTTTAGGTTATGGACTCTGGTATAATAAGGAAGTCACTTTAGATATGACTAATATTGCTTATTCTTTATCCTCCAGGCAAGGTGATTATGCACGACCCTTTCGCCATGCGTCCGTTCTTCGGTTACAACTTTGGCGACTATCTCTCTCACTGGCTGAGCATGGAGCGCCGTAAGGCCCCCACCCACCTGCCCAAGATCTTCCACGTCAACTGGTTCAGAAAGGACCCCGCCACCGGCTCCTTCCTCTGGCCAGGCTTCGGCGAAAACGCTCGCGCACTGGAGTGGATCTTCAGGCGCTGCAGCCGGGAGCGGGAGGACGAGGCGGCCAAGAAGAGCATCATCGGCTGGCTGCCAGAAGATGGCGCCATCAACACTAAAGGTCTGAGCGGCAGTGTGGATATGGGCGCTCTGTTCGATGTGCCCAAGTCTTTTTGGCAGCAGGAGACGAAGGAGCTGAGAGCTTACTTCAGTCAGCAGGTCGGAGCCGATCTGCCCGCTCAGGTGGAGGCGGAGCTGAAGGCGCTGGAGGACAGAGTGCACAATTAAAACCCTACTGACAGGAAGTTCATCCTGAAACAGGAAGGAAGTCACTGATGGCAGGATTCAGATCATTATGGTGCAATTAGAGTCACAGGCTTTTGTTTACATACACAGAGAAGAAAGTTTTTACAATGTAAGATACGTACTGATAAGCTTGTATGAATGCAACGCCTCAAAAAGACCATCACCCAGGCCAGTATTACACTTTCTCTGTGCATGAAAACACAACCAGTGACTCTTGGCTTTCTCTTTTATCAAGAGAAATATGTTGGGAATTAAATGTCCGAGATAAAAAGCTAATAATTCAATAACTTTGGACACGACTTCACACTACAACTAACTCTGAGGTTTGACTCCACATGAAGGCTAGATTTTGTGTCAAGCTTGATATGTTGAGAAGCCAATGCCACTACCTCCATATATTCATCTGCTATGGTACTAAACATGGCCATTAATGTGGCCTTAAAGTGGCTTTTTAAGACATGTTACCAATACAATGTCTAGGCTGCTAATGTTATAAGCTGGAAACCAAATATTTTTTTGGCATTGTTCTAAAAAAAAGTTCTAAAAAGAAGGATTTTAAGTGAATTTGGGCACCAGATAATTGAATACAACATTAACCAAGTCTCAACAAATGGTCTTTTATTTTGAAACATTACAGCAGGATTTACTATGCATAATTCATCTTGACACTTTTGTAATGTCTGTGATTAAAATGTATGATTTCAGGTGATGTTTACACACAAAATGTGAAATGTTGGACCAATAAATGCAACTGAGATTATTAGGTTATTTTTAGAAGTTGTATGCCACGGTTTTTATTACAGTGAAACAAATAAATATCTTCAAATGCATAAACTGTCTCTTGTACCTTATTGTAGATAACTGAATAAAATGTAAACATGTAATATATCACAAAATGAAATCGAATACAATATTTTATGTACAGTCAAGTTCCCTATAATAAATTCTCATGTCTTTTAGCATAGTTCCCCATGAAGACTTGATCTGACATGCAGATAAACACAAACAGCCATATAAGGTCAGTTTTCACATATAAATTACAATGATTTACAAAAGTATCTGAGCTGCAGAGGGGGGAGGTTTTAAGCTCCCCTTTTTTTAACCGGTTGGTAATAAATACCCTTCCTGTTGAGGTGTCTTGTTCAACATAAAGACAACACCTTATATGTAAACAATGTAAGTAAGTGTGTTAATGCGTCTCAGATGTCTTCTTCACTTGAGCGTAGAGGTCCTTTGGTCTGTTTGCTGTCTCTGACACTTTGACCTGAGCGTACAGCGTGTCCTCCGTCTGTCCACCGTCCTGCTCTGAGACAGGGGGACTTTGATTCCTCTGCTTGGAGAAGTCGATCTCTCCGTAGTGGATTTCTGTTTTACTCGCCAGCTCTTCAACAGTCAGCTCTTCACCTGTTTGACTCTGAAGATAGGAAGGGTTGTGCAGCTTTACAAAAAAAGTTACGACAAAAACAAGATAAAGTGCAACAGAAACACATTGAAACATGAATTTCTTTAAAAGCTTAAATAATAAGACAAATAAAAAAGCTTAAAAAGTATGACAGGTATATAATACAAGAATTAAAGTTACAGTGCAGTGTGAAATATACAGCTATGATGCAAGAAAAAGGTATAAACCCAATATGCAAATAATAAAATATTGTTATTCAATTTATAATACACACATAATACTGTTTTGGCAAGAGTTCAGCATTTTTTAAACTTATTTGCCTTGGTGTTCTTTTTGTACTTCACAGTAACGGTTATAGACGATCTCTTAACCTCAAAAAAACGAATTTAAAGCATTACTATTGTTCTTCGTTCAATTGTGTCACAGTAATATTTGTTTTTCAGTTGTTTGTACTCACCTGACTCTGTTCTGCCGTCGGATGTGTTGACATTAAACGCCTGCAACATGTAACATTAATGATACTGTGTTTTAGGTTCAACAACCAGAGTGCCATGAAGATAACATGTGAGTGCATTTAACTGAACACCTTCTTAAAATGTTGCGATACTTACCAACCACAGAGAACCAGGCAGATGAGTACCACGATCCCAACGGTTCCTCCAATAACCACCCCCCACTGTTCAAAGTTGACTTCACCCCAAGACAAAACAAAACCATATAAGAGACTAAATAAAGATCTAAGTGTTGAACATTAACAATAACAATGTAACCTTGCTGGGTTACTTTAATATTTACCTATCATAGTCAGCAGGATCGTTGTTGACTTTCCATTACCAAGCTCATTTATGGCCACACAGTAATAACCTCCTCTCTCTGTGGCATTAAAGCTGTAAATCTCTCCCTGTGAGACGTTCATGTCTCCATCTTGGCTCTCCTTGAACCAGGTGAAGCTGCTGACGGGAGGCTGGGCTCTGCTGGAGCAGCTCAGCTCCACCCAGCCGCCCGCTGACACCAAACCTGAGGGCGGACTGACGGAGGCGGAGGTGTCCTTAGGAGCATCTGAGGAAAAAATGTGACATTAACTGGGTCATTCTACAGAAAAGGTGGAAGTACTGTCACTTACTTTTGCAGACACCAAAATACATGACGTTGACCTAATACCAGTGGCGAACCGTCAGGGCCTTCAAGGTATTCAGAGAATACCCTCAGATAAAACAAACAAAAAATCGATTTAATTATATAAATAAAATGTATATAAAATGAATAAATGAGAATCGTATCTGTGTTGTTGATCTGTAATATCTCAGTGTTACGTTGATTTGTTTGTCCTTCTGGTCCTTCTCGGACCATGCACTACGCATTTCAGTGGTTTTGTGTAGAAAAGAAAGCAACCAATCAGATCTTGTCCTTCAACCAAGGTATTCTACATCCTTGATCGAATGCCCTGGCCGTTGCAATTAATTTCCAATCTTTTCCAATCTTTATTCCAGACTCAAGGTCCATATCACATACAAAAAGACAAAACACACATCAATAAATAAGATAAAAAGCTAAACACAAAACAGATAAAAACAAACAGATAAAAACATAAAATCAGTCCAATCACAGCTAGCCACATGCTCACTGTCTGTCAATGTCTCCAAATCATCAAGAGGAAGTTGTGAGTACCATTTTCAAGACGACAATTCAGTGAAAAGACGGACATTATAATGCCGCGGGGGGAGGGGGGCGGCGGGGGCCTATGTGTCTACAGAAGGTCCAGTTGTGATAGACACGGTTCGCCACTGCCTAATACTCACATTCATTATATATGTTGAATACATAGAGATTGCCTTTGCAATGGTACTCAATTAAAAAAATTGTTTTATACATAAATTGCAATTTATTTAAAATGCCAAGTTCAAGGAATTGCCTTGTCACTTTGATCATATTTGTTTTTCAATAAATAAATCTCATTCATATTTACATAACATTACATACATTAAATATAACATTGAAATGGTAAAAAAAAAACGCAAATTATTATTAATAATATCCAATAAATCGCAGTCACCCAAAATTACGTCATTGGTGTTACTGCTGCACAAAACGCTTTTATTTTGAAGTAATGTACTGTCTCTGAAGTGCCTCCTGTAACAAGATATCATTTGAGGCAGTGCAGTGGACAAAGACATAAGGAAAGTCAGATACTTCTTACTTTGTTTGTTAAAGGTGTCATTTTATCTTTAAATTTCACGTGCGTCTTTCAAGTCTGTCATTAGTGTTACTCATTTCATAGCCCTAGGGGTGAACATTTGAATGGGGAAATGTATTGTATTGAAGAGTTAAACGATTTTGATATTGACTGAAGCCATATTTGGTCACATTGCAGCCATTTTGTTAAAATGGTAGTGTTTTCTCCAAATTGTCACTGGTGTTACCGTCACTGGTGTTACTCTTCTTCCTGGTAACACGTAACACCAGTGACATTCCTATATAAATAAGCTTTGTATAATGTATACAAATAATTAAAAAAATAAAAAACTTTAAGCTCTACTTGTTGTGGATTCATCAAGTTAAGAGTTAGTTATTGCTATTTAACCGGGTTTAGATGTGTTTAGAAGGAATATATTTCAGCAGATGTGTATCACCCAGATTCCACCTTTTCTGTAGAATGACTCAACTTCATTCAAATCATACCATCATGTGCTGACAATCACAGGTTGTTCTTACATGAAACATGGAGAGTCTTTGTCTCCTCTGCTGTCTTCACATCTTTCCCTTGATTCACAGGATAGCTGGCAGAGCAGGTGATGTTGAATCCATCATGTTGGTCTGTCAGAGTGAGGCTCTTCTGGATCTTAGTCATGAAGGTCCGATCTGGGTTTTCCTCCATTGTGTTGGGAGGGTTTTGTTGGAGAGTCCAGGTGAGTTTAGGAGGGGAGTGTGGACAGGGAGCTGAAGCTGAGCAGGTTACAGTGACAGACTCCGCCTCCTTCAGATCATCTAGGTTTGAAATGTTAATTCTGGGGCTTGGAGGAGAATCTGTGGTTGAAAAATTATCAGATTATACACTGAAAAACACTGTGCTGCGTGTGCCTTTAACCTTTATGTAAGTGTAAATTCTCATGTAATCTCCCATTAATAATTTCAGGACCTTTTAGTTTTATCTTGGAAGGGAAAAAAGTGAACAAAGTCACATTCATTTAGATTTTTCCTGTTACTGCTACGGTACTTCCCCTAGGCATGTGATGCAGTAAAATTCTGCATTTACAGTGTCTATTGATAGTGTATTCATACATTCAAATCAATGACGCCTGGTTTCTGTCACATTTAACCAGAAGTAAAAGAAGAAGTACTCGGACCCTTAACATAAGTAAAATACGATGTTTTTAAAATATTCCATTATGAATTCAAAATGTTACTGAAGTATTGGAGCAAAGGTGTTATTATCAAAAATGTATGTGTTAAATACTTGGTTAATAATGACTATAAAGGGCATCATATCATCAGCATATCATGTGATTTATATGAAAAAAGTAACTGTGTTAAATAAATCTAGTGGACTAAAAGTATGACATTTGTTTCCAAACAGTAGTAAAGAAGCAGTACATCTACTTTAAAATGGAAATACTCAAATAAACAATTGAGTAACTGTACTTAGTTACATTTCACCACTGTTTTAACCAGCACTCATACGGTTGAACAGCCTACTCCAGAAATGTGATGTATAAAGTTCACTACGTTTGCTGTTTAGATCAAAATGGCACCTAATTTAACTTTTTATTTAAAATCAAAATTGTATAGAATGTCTCACCTTTGACTGTTATTTCTAGAGGATCACAGGCAGCTGTTGCCAGAAATCGTCTGTTCTCAACTCTGAAGAAGTATTTGCCCGTGGAACTTGTGTTTAAACTGTGAAATAAGGTTGTGCAGTTTCTCTGACTCAGGTCTCCGGTGATTTTCATTAGGTCGCTGATTTCTGCCTTGCTACTGTTGAAAATCACTTTGTCTGGATTGTTGGCAAAGTCAACAGTGTCATTAATCCACACTCCGAAGGATTCTCTTGAGCCATCAAATGTGTCTTGAACGTTGCTGTTAGCACTGAAGTTACATGGGATATGAAGACAGGATCCATTTAGTGCTTCCATCTCATGAGGGGTTGTTAGGAGCAGGTGAGTCAGACACTCAGTGTTAGCCCCTGTGAAACAAATCTTCATGAATGGAGCAGTAACACTTCATTTGTTTAGCACCTGCCCTACCACTATCCTACAACCATGAAAAACAACATAAACATGTGACGATTTGAGAGCAATGCACGCGAGCCAATAAATTACACATATTTTAAAAGTTGTAAAACATAAGAAAATAAAAAGTACAATTGAGTTAAAAAGGGGATTAATAAAATCACATTCATATTTAAAAATTTGAATACAATACAAAAATAATAAATAAAATAACAATAACATTTTAGAATATAAACAGGTGATCAATATAATTACAATTACATTTTCAATTTAAATGTAATTAAGTGAATTAAATAATGTAAAAAATGGTATAAACCATTATTAATCAAAGGCCTGGCTAGGTGCATTTTTAAGTTAACTTTTAAGATTTCCAGCAGCTCGTATCCTTCGGGTATAATAGCTAAAAGGTCTTGACAAAACACAAACGTTTTCTGTTTTTTGTTTTGTTTTTTTAAATCAAATGAATGAATTAAAGCATTTTCCTGAAGTAAACATGGAACAAAGAGCTCACCTGAAAGGAAGAAGAGACTCAGTAAAATGTTGGCTGTCACCATTCTCACAGACTGGACTGCACTGAATGTCATAATAATGCAGTTACTCTCAGAGTGCACCGAGCTTTGCACAACCACAATGTTCTGTGGTTTAACTGATTTACTTATGCAAGGCAAATCGGCACCTAACAAAATAATACAACTGTTGGTTAGACAGGAATAAATAATGTTTTCTTACCAAAGTAGCCCACATCAATAAAAGAGCAACACTTAGATCCTTTGGTTGGCACGTTAAAGGCAACAATGGTTAAAAGTGTTAACTTAACCTAATAGTAAAAGTGTTCACTTCCTTTGTTGAAGCTGTGGTCATCGAAGCCGACTTCCTATGATTTGAGAAGAGACAGCATGTGCAGTTGTTTACAGCAGAGAAATAGAAGAAGTTCTCACCCTTACCGCTCATACATATTTTGCTTTTCACACTAAGTGTTTCTCTATATTAAATATATAATTACTGGTGGATGTGGGGGAAACTTCTGTAGCAATTGGAAACAGGACTCAGAGAGGCACGAGGAGAGCTGGAGCTTTGATGGCAAACACTGGCGGTTCATTTGGAGTTACGCAAGGCCGTAGACCTCTGCCATGGGAAAGGAGACAGTGAGAAGAGAAAATGAGAAAATGACGAACTGTGTTGAAGGTTGAATACCTACGCAAATTATTCCCTAACAGTGGATACATTTAACTGAGCTGTACATTTGAGGTTCTGTGCTTGAGTATTTCCATTATCAGTGGGAGAAATATTAAAGGGGTCCTGTTATGCTTTTTGGGGGGTTTTCTCTTTCCTGTAGTGTGTAATATTAGGTTTTGTGTATGTAAATGGTCTGCAAAGGCTTAACGTTCCCTCCAGAGGGAGTTTCTCTCTTCCCCGTGAGAGCGTGTGCTCAGTCAGGACAGTTTAAACTGATAAACTGGGTCAAAGTTATGGGCCTTGGAAAATATTTCCCCAACACTTAGTTACATTCTAACACCCATCTTATTAATTGTTGTGAAGAAAGCTACATTTAAAATGACTAAATGAAATAGAATAATTAAAAAAACAATAAATAGAGTTGAATGTATTTCTACTTATTGCCTTTCAGTCCTGAACTCAATCATGGAAGCAAACATTAACATAGTGTCATTGTCATTTCCTCAGTGCGAGTGTGAGAGGAAAAGAGAGTTAAAGAAGTTGTAATTTAAACACTCATATGGACTCAATCATAACGGAAACAAAACCACAACTTCCCTAACATGGTAAACAATGATCTGATTACACACAGACAGGAATATCTGTGGCACTTGATTGGTTTAAAATGACGTTAGCTTGCATGCAACACCGAGGAGAAAAAGGAACTGTCACTCTCTTTGATGACCACATGCAGAAGGAACTCTGTAAATGGTGACATTGAGGAAGGAAGGTGTTTTAATGGTGAAATATGAGCATAACGATTATTTAAAGGTGCTTAAAATCTATTTTATTTTGGTGAATAAAAACCAAATTAATGTGTGCATCATTAAAATTGATTCACGATACATAAATAAGAAACTGAGATTACTTAAAAAATGCCATTTCAAACATCTTAAAAGATGCATGAGTGCTTCAAGTGTCACACACACACACACACACACACACACACACACACACACACACACACACACACACACACACACACACACACACACATATTTACATGTTTACAACTGACATAAAGCTGCAGATGTGGGAGGTTATGAGTTTCCCCTCATTATATTGAACTGTTGGCAGTAAAACAGTCCAGGTCTCCATTTCTACAAACTTGAGTTATTCAATAATGTTTATCTTCGGAATGTTTTAATGGATTTTGTGTCTTTGCATCATTCCTTCACTTGAGCGTAGAGGTCCTCTGGTTGCTTAGCAGCCTGTGTTAGGCTGTCTGCTGTGTTTTTATACTTATAATATATATATAATGGGGCGAAGCCTGCGAGCTAGTTCAGGCAGTCAACTCGAGCACTTATGCTGCATTCATACATAACGCCCCTTGCCACTCTACAACCAACCAAACAGAGTCTCCTTAATATGCCGCTCTATTGAACCTGCCAGATATCTCTCCATGCATTGCTTGCTGCTGCTATTGCTGCAGCTACCTCTACGTCGCTGCTGCTTGCCTGCCCCACCACCACCCCAGCTTCCACCCCAGCTTCCACCTGTAGGCTCAGGAGTTAGTTATTTAATCATCACTCATCGTGCTATGTATATCTATGGAGTGATGATGCCCGAGCCTAGTCGCCGAACTCAACTATATGCTGCTTCTAATAAACATGTTAAAGGAACACGTGAGTTGTCTGACTGAAATATAATTATACCCCCCCTCTCTGTCTATGAACAATGTTTGTAATTTCCTAGGAAGTAGATTATTTCTTGCTCTGTACATGATTTGTGCAGTTTTAAATGTAACCAGATCCGTAAACTTCAGTGTGTGTGACTTCAAGAATAATGCATTAGTGTGTTCAAGATATAACACACATATTATAGCCCTTTTTTTGTAATGTGCATAATGGCTGTAGGTTTGTTTTTGTAAGTGTTTCCCCAAATCTCCCCACAGTAACTCAGATATGGCAATATGAGTGTATTATACAGAGTATATAATGATTTGTAGTCCAAAACGTGTCTTGCTTTCCCCAATATTGTGATAGTCTTATCCAGTTTTGCTTTTACATGATTGATATGAGGTTTCCAGCTCATTCTGTGCTCTAAAACCACACCACGGAACTTATTTACTTACTCTTTCTATGTGTATGTTGTCTACTGTCTAGTATTAATGGCACCTGAGGATTTGTTTTATGTTTTCCAAAGAGCATAATCCAGTGGCGTAACTAACGAAGAGATTACATTTTTTTTAAAATTATTATTATATACCATTTTTTGGGGGAGGCCCCAATGGCATTGACCGGTTCACGCAGTCTTCAAAGTAACTAAGCAACCTACATTAATTTGTCATTTGTCTGTCCAATGACTTTGCTCCCTTTCATGTCATGTGATACCTTGCCTGACGAGCGAACCGTTTAATCAACCTCAAAAGTTATAGGTACTGTAGCTAGCAGCAGCAAGTTTGACAGCATTATAAAAATGTAATAGCTTGCATTTATAATGTACAGCAAACCAAAGTACAAGAGCAGCGCTCAAAAGAGAAAGGACAAGAGATAACAAGGAGATGTAACGGCTAAACTGACAAAATTAGGTAGATTTTTTTGTCATACATCGTCCTCCAAATCTCGATTAATTCTGTAAAGTGATTGTGTGATTAGTTTGCTGTGCCGTTGTCAAGCTGTGGTGGTCTGATGCCAGGGCAGGCTGTGGTTGGTAGCCTACATGTGGCGCTTATGAGTGGTTGTGTGTGTCCGTGTGTGTGTGAGCGCATCAGTGTAGGCTTATGTTTGGGGCGATGGGCGGGGGGGCCCCAAAACAATATTTGCACCGGGGCCAATCACAACCTTGTTACGCCACTAGCTTTGTTTTGCTTATATTTAATGATAATTTGTTCTTATCAAACCAACGTTTTACTTTAATCATTTCTGCTGTTATTACCTCCATTAGCTGTTTCAAATTGTCACCAAAAAATATTAGTATCATCTGCAAATAAAATACATTTCAATATATTTGATACTCTGCAAATATCGTTGATGTATCAGGGGTGCCCAACCTTTTTTGAACCGAGAGCTACTTTTAAAGTTGCCAGTCTGCCGAGATCTACCAGTCCAAATAGAGAGGCGTAGCCATTTCTGACAGCCTACTACCAGGTATAAATACACACTTCTACTTGTATAAAACTGACCTTTGTACAATTAATACTTCATAAAATCCTGCAGATCCTTTATCTTACCTCTTTCTAATCTACACACATACAAGTATTCAACTGAAGTTACACAACAGTGTTGTTGATACAGAGTTGGAGTTTATTCACACGTCACTACAGTGGGTAATGTTTTCAAGAAACATTGAACAGTGCTGCCACATATGACACAGGGAAAAAAGAAAATACTCTGAACCCTTTCTTTGCCATTATATAAAAATAGTGTTGCTACAAAAATATAAATTAGGCTTACTAATAAGACAACTCAGATCTGAAGCTACACAGGAATCTGCTGCCAAAGTGCAATAAAAAAAGATTATCTAAAAAATGTATAGAATCAAACCCTTTTTTTGTCGCATTTTAGTAGAGTATAAAAAGAAATGCCTTTAAAATAGGATGCAAGCAACTCTAGTTTCTTAACCTGAATTGATAATAGACTATAATCAATTTAAGTTTGCATTCTTATACCATTTTGTACAATAATTATAATGAATAAGTTCAAACTTACAGCTGATTAATAACGGTATCTAACTTTAGTTTTTATTATATCAAAAACCTGTTGAAATGCTACTGTTATTTTTTACTGTCCCCAAAAAGCGCATCGGCAGCCTCCAGGAATGCTTCTTTCACAACTTGTGTTTCGCAAGAACGTGACTGACACGATAAGATGCTATGGTAGCAGCCTTGCTCTTGTTGTTGGGCCTGGTGGAAATGGACTGCTGTGCATTTAGCTGTCCTTTCAGGCCCCTCCCCTTTTGGGAGCGGAAGGCAGAATTAGGAGGGAATTCCGTCTCATCGCGTTTGTGCTCCTAAATTACTCTTCTTCGATAAAGCCACGCTCGCATTGCAGATGAGACAGATGGACTTTGAATTGGAATAGATACAAAAATAATCATCCTCCCACTCGGAGTGAAAATTATATATTTTGGGCTCTTTTGCTTCTGCCATAATTGCGGTCTTGTGTGTGTGCGGACTGTCACTCCTGTTGACACGGACAACGTCAGCGAAATAGTGCCCACCAGCCCACACTTGGGGTCACGCCGGCCAATCACAAAGCTTTGATGCGTTCAAGTGCATTATTCTGGCACAGGAAGATTATGTCATAGGACATTAACGATAAAACCGAATATTGTTGTTCTATTTTTAGACACATCTCGCGATCGACTGGGAATCTCCCCGCGATCGACTGGTCGATCGCGATCGACTGGTTGGGCACCCCTGATGTATATGATGAACAGCTTTGGACCCAACACAAGTTATGTTCATGTATTCTGATGATGTTCACCTATTTCAACAAATTGTTGTCTGTTGTTTAAATAATCTCTCACCCAGTCTAATCCCACCCCTCTGATGCCATACCTTTCCAGTTTCGTCAGTAAAATATTGTGATCTGTGGTGTCAAATGCTTTTTGTAGGTCTATAAATATTCCCACTGCTTGTTTTTTATTGTCCATGCAGTTTGCTATTTCCTCACTTAATTCCATTAGTGCCATAGATGTTGATCTGTTTTTCCTGAATCCATATTGACTGTCGTTCAACAGCTGATGTGTTTCCATGAAAGTCTTTTTGTAAAAACCTTTTCAAGGATCTTGGAAAATTGTGAGAGCAAAGAAACAGGCCTGTCATTTGTGTAATGGTGTTCATCCCCAGTTTTTATATAATGGTATAACTTTAGCTATTTTCATTTTATTAGGGAATTTACCAGATTGAAAATACAAGTTACTTAGAGGTTTCTCTAAGTATTGAAACAAACTAAATATAAGTGGCTACTTAAAGAAGACATGTAACTAATGTAGCAGAAGTTCCACTTTTTAAACCTGGTTTTGAGAAAATTCTGATGAATTGAAGTAAATAGGTGAAAGGTTGAAAGGGTGAACAACAGCAAAACTATATTGAAACATTATTTTGCAAGCTCTAAAATAATTTGGGAGTCAAATCCAAATGTTTAATGTTCAGAGGGTGTTTTTTTCTCTTTTATATTAGCCATTTCTCAAGAGTTCAATGTCAAACGGGTTTAGTAATATATGAGAAGTATTTTGTTGTTGTAGTATTTCTTTAAAGGTCAAAGTTAGTGGGTCCAGTCCTGTACCTTTGAGTTTAAGATGGATCGTTGTTGACTTTCCATTACCAAACACATTTGTGGCCACAGAGTAAAAACCTCCTCTCTCTGTGGCATAAAAGCTGTAAATCTCTCCCTGTGAGACCTTGATGTCTCCATCTTGGCTCTCCTTGAACCAGGTGAAGCTGCTGACGGGATGCTGGGCTCTGCTGGAGCAGCTCAGCTCCACCCAGCTGCCCGCTGACACCGAACCTGAGGACGGACTGACAGAGGCGAGAGTGTTCTTAGGAGCATCTGAGGAAAATGTGAGATTAACTTAATTCAAATCATACCATCATGTGCTGACAATCACCAGGTTGTTCTTACATGAAACATGGAGAGTCTTTGTCTCCTCTGCTGTCTTCACATCTTTCCCTTGATTCACAGGATAGCTGGCAGAGCAGGTGATGTTGAATCCATCATGTTGGTCTGTCAGAGTGAGGGTCTTCTGGATCTTAGTCGTGAAGGTCCGATCTGGGTTTTCCTCCATTGTGTTGGGAGGGTCTTGTTGGAGAGTCCAGGTGAGTTTAGGAGTGTGGACAGGGAGCTGGAGCTGAGCAGGTTACAGTGACAGACTCCGCCTCCTCCAGATCACCTGGGATCTCAATGGTGGGGCTCGGAGGAGAATCTGTGCAGGTTGAAAACAGAATTAGTATTTAATCGTTCTGTTTTCGCTATAACATTATGATAAAAAACCTTACCTTTAACTGTTATTTTAATAGGATCGTCAGAAGCAGTTGCTTTAAATGACTCCGTCTTAAATCTGAAGAAGTATTTGTTTGTGTAACTTGAGTTTCAACTGGAAAACAGAGTGCTGCAGTTGTTCTCACTCAGGTTTCCAGTGATATTCATTGGATAGGTGTTCTTTGCCTTATTACTTTTAAAAATCAAATTTTCTCCAAGGTCCTCATGGGTGTTTTTAATCCACTTTCCAATTCTGTTGTCAATCTCCGTTTCTTTTGTAGCACTAAATGTACACGGGATGTGTAAACAGGATCCACTCAGTGCCTCCATCTCCTTCGGTGCAGTAATGGAAAGGTCTGCGCAATCCATAGAACCTGTCAAACCAGACTTAGAAAGGTTAGAAAAATCAGCATGAATAGACAGACTAAATATACCTCAGCAGCGGGATGTTGCATGCAGTTTTTCCCGCAGCAATGTTGGTAGACAAGCTCACCTGAAATAAAGAGGATGTGGAGTATCACGATTTCTGTTGCAGACATGGCTCCCAGCTCCTAAGTTGGAAAGAACAATAATGCTGACACTGTTTAAACATGTTTTAGAGCTAGTACAAACCGGAGTCATCGTGTTGAACAGAGAAACCGATGCTAAAAATCTATGATGCAAATGATTCCTTCTCAGTCTTAATTCTGACAAACAAAAGGATCAAATTAAATATTAGATCATTTAATGTTTGTTTTTTTAGTTCATGAAGAGTAATTTTTTAACATACTATAATAACATCTGGAAATGTTCGAACTTCTTACCAAAAAATCCTATATCAAAAAGAGAGATGCGATGAGACTCTTCTGTGGGAAATGAATATCAGAGTGTGAATTTGAGTTTGAATGCAAATAACCAACTTCCTTGTGTAGGGTGTAATTTTATCCCGGGGATACTTCCTGTGTTTCCGCTCCACGCAGAGAGTCCTGCTGGTTTAGTGGTACCAGTCACCTACATTAAAAAAACAGGACGTACATGTGAAACCAGAAAATCAGAAATCCTTTCTTCTTCCCGCAGTGGGAACATTTACAGCAAAGTATAAGAGTTACATATTATATAAAAAGGCAAGATAAAAATGTAATAATAAATAAATACACCATGATAAAACAAATATGCAGCAGTGTCTACAAATAATATATCACATTAAAAAACAGAATACTGCAACAACAAAAAAACACTCTTTATGCAGGATACAAAATATAACATTAGAATAATTTTAATTTAAATATTATTAATTTGTGGCATTATATATTTTAAAATATAATTTTAATAATTAATAATTTTATAATTTCTTCAGTTTTTATCACTAATTCATAACTTTTTTTAATGTAGTATTGTGGAGCAAATGTAAGATACTTTCTTTGCAACTGGGTAGATGAGTTGAATATTACAAATTCATATCACATCCTTTAAATAAAAGTAACTATATGACATTAAATGAAGGGGACAGTACCTTACAATACACCACTGCATTAGGACCACCGTGTGAGCAACAGTGATACCTAGTGGACACACTCTCTATTACATGATCTGTAATGAAACATAAAACACTGCAACAGAACTCATGCCATGTCCTACATCCACTTGTGTAAAGTAACTAAATACATTTACTCAAGTACTTCACTTAAGTGCAATTTTGAGGTACTTGTATTTTGAGTATTTCAATTTTCTGCTACTTTATACTTCTACTCCACTACAATTCAGAGGTACATTGTGTACTTTTACTCCACTACATTAGTTAATACCTTTAGTTACCTTGCAGATTTTGATTAATTATGTGAAATATAATGACACATTTAGTCTTGTTTTTGTAAATTGTGTTTATTTGATGGATTCATTTGTATTAAGTAGCATACTGTACATTTGCACCTCTTTAATTTGGAAGCCCCTGATAGCTTTGCATCATCCTCTGTATCATTATAAAAATAGGCAACAATACACATATTTAGCTATAATCAATGAATATTTTAACACTGTAAAAACTTCAACACCCCCTCTGCTGTCATCAGATTGTGATTAATACGATGCTAACTCTTGATTGGTGCACAGAAACAGGTGACATCATCTTTTCCAACCTAAGCCACACCCACGTCAAACTAGTGAGAGCCTCCATGGAAAAAAGACTCATGTGAATTTCAAAACTGTTAAAAGTTATGTCAAAAAAAGATAAATATATATATATATACATGCTTCCTAAATAAATACATTGAATACGACACCCAGGCCTACTATATAATAATAATACTTTATAGTTTTTCAAGTTGGGAAGTGTTTTAAGCATTACATACAAATTAAATACCTGTTGGTTTATTTTGTGAAATGACCTTTACACAAAAATACACATAATTTCTCAGATCATATCTCGAGTGAAAATAACAGATGGTTGACTAAACCAGATAATTAAGATATTTAAAAATGTTTACTTCCTATTTTATTCGTCATCGTCTAACTTTACTGTACTTCTGACAAGGCCTAACAACTCCTCTTTCTTTGTTTATTTCTATGAATAAATGGCACTCTTTTAGTAATACTTGCAAACTAAATGTAAAATATTGCGTATACTGCATGTTAAAACATGCAGTATGTTGCAGGGCCTTTTATTAAAGAGCCAAAATAGATTTTTAAGAACGATAAATACCATAAATATGACACTTTAAATATATGGCAAAGAACTTCAAGTTTTGAAGCAAATAGGTTCTTGTGGCAATAAAAAAAACGGAATATTTGTCTAAAAAAATCCATGTCTATACATTCATTTCCTTTTCACTTGAGCGTAGAGGTCCTCTGGTCTGTTTGCTGTCTCTGACACTTTGACCTGAGCGTACAGCGTGTCCTCCGTCTGTCCACCGTCCTGCTCTGAGACAGGGGGACTTTGATACCTGTGCTTGGAGAAGTCGATCTCTCCGTAGTGGATTTCTTCTCCTGTTTCTGTTGCTGCGGCTGATTCTTGGACAGCTGTTAGCCTCTGCGTATCATTGATTTGTGTCTCATGTTCTCCCCTGATCTGCTCCCCCTGCAGAGAGTTGAGAAATAGAAATAGGAACTCTGATGAAACCCCATGACAGTGGTTCATTGTGCCACATTTACTCACAGATAAGGAACTTAGTCAGTGCAGTCTCCAGTCTATGAAAGTATTCACAACATATATGTACTGCACATTTGAGTATTTCCCCACCTGTGACTGTTCTTGAGTTGTATGTTTGGACTTCAACCACCTGGAAGAGATAAAGAGCGGTCAGCTTCATGTAATAGATGTGGATATTAAATTGATTTGAGTTACTTACCAAACAGCAACAGCTAAACAGATGAGTATCATGATCCCAATGATGCCCCCAACAACTCCCCCCCATGGTGAAGAGCCATCAAGCTGTTCCGCTCCTACAGGAAAAAAAAAAAGTGTGGCTGTAATTCAGATTTCCTATAGAGCTTGACTTCATACAGTAATTAGGAAACACAGCAATGATGAAGCTGAAACTCAAAATGTTTTCTCAGTTTATGAAATTCTGTTTTCTATTTTCTCTCTTCCTCTTTTCACTTTCCTTTCCAATCACAAATCTCTTTTCGTCCTATTTTATGTGGCCTAATTTGATGATATCCTAATTTATCATTTATAGACCACATTTTTCGATGTAAATATGTTTTTAACTTCCCATTAAACTCATTATTCCTATTTTTGCATATATTTACATTGATGCATTAATTGCTTTATCCAACAATACCTGCTCCTATTTCACAAACGTATGCAGTACATTTATGTGTTTACCTCCGTTAGCCAGATGGATCTTTGGTGATGTTTCTTTACCAAGCTCATTTGTGGCCACACAGTAATAACGTCCTCCCTCTGTGGCATTAAAGCTGTAAATCTCTCCCTGCGAGACCTTGATGTCTCCATCTTGGCTCTCCTTGAACCAGGTGAAGCTGCTGATGGGAGGCTGGGCTCTACTGGAGCAGCTCAGCTCCACCAAGCTGCTCGCTGGCACAAAACCTGAGGGCCGACTGACGGAGGCGGAGGTGTCCTTAGGAGCATCTGAGGAAAAATGTGAGATTAACTTCATTCAAATCATACCATCATGTGCTGACACTCACAGGTTGTTCTTACATGAAACATGGACAGTCTTTGTCTCTGCTGTCTTCACATCTTTCCCTTTATTCACAGGATAGCTGGCAGAGCAGGTGATGTTGAATCCATCATGTTGGTCTGTCAGAGTGAGGGTCTTCTGGATCTTAGTCGTGAGGGTCCGATCTGGGTTTTCCTCCATTGTGTTGGGAGGGTTTTCTGGGAGAGTCCAGGTGAGTTTAGGAGGGGATTGTGGACAGGGAGCTGGAGCTGAGCAGGTTACAGTGACAGACTCCGCCTCCTTCAGATCACCTGAGATCTCAATGGTGGGGCTCGGAGGAGAATCTGTGGTTTTTAAATGTGAGGATACAGGCCAATACAGTTTTCAAACAGTAATCAAAAAATGTACATCTTGTTGTAAAATGTGAAAATAAAGGTCAGTCAGCTGCATCCTTTATGTAGATGTTGTCATCCACCGGTCACCACATGAGACTCATATCTGTGCATGTAGACGGGCATTATTTGTAATAGTAATGCACACAATATTATACACTGTCATATATTTGGATTTAGCAGGTTTCAGATATTATGACTTTTTGATTGTCTGAATAATTTCTGTAATAACTGATACATTGATTATCCTAGATGTATAGTTTAACAATAAAGGTAAGACTACTCCAACAAAAAGTCTCTTACCTTTCACTGTTATTTGAAGAGGATCACATGCAGCTGTTGCCAGAAATGGGCTGCTCTCAATCCTGAAGAAGTATTTGTCTGTGTGACTTTTTTCCAAACTAGAAAACAGAGTGGTGCAGATTCTCTGTCTCAGGTTTCCTGTAATGCTCATTGGATATCTGTTAATCGTCCGATCACTGTGGAAAATCACGTTTTTTGGTTTTTGGCTAAATGCGGGCTCTTCTTTAATCCACACTCCGAAGATTTCTCGTGAGCTGCTGAAGCCCTTATCTGAGCTATCTGAGACAGCGCTGAAGTTACACGGGATCAGCAAACAGGATCCCCTCAGTGCTTCCATCTGCTTCGGGGTGGTGATGTAAAGGGCCTTAGAACAAGTACCTTCAACAAGATGTGGGAGAAAATCTGCAGGAAGAAAAAAGAGCATATTAACAAACTGTGTCTAGTAAGCAAATTGTATTCAAACTCAGGATGTGAACAAAGGAGTCATTCTGATATTTCTGCTTTTTCTAAGTAAAGATTGTAAACTATTAAAGTAACAAACATCTCACCTGAAACAAAGAGGACTAGCAGTAACATGTTGGTCACCATATTCAGGATTCTGGATTTGCAAACACAAGAACACTGTTACTTTTCATTTGTAGTAATCACACATATAACGTATTCAGTTTTTACAAAGTGCCTTTTAAAGCAACTTCCCTACTTCAATGACACCACAGAAAACTTGCCCTGTACAACCAGGGTTAGTTAGCACTTTGCATTTAAAGGCATCTGCAGAGCTGTGCTTTCAAATCTATATTACAAATACACTAGAGGAGTTCAGTCAAATGTTTCCTTACCGCACGAGCCCACAGGAAACTGAACTAACCTCCAGCCGCTGTAATATAAAGAAAGAGGATTTGCTTTTAAAGAAATGCTTCCCTTTTTTAGAGCCAACACTGCTAGAAATCACATGACTACATTTGCTGCATTTTTTGTCAACGCTGAACTTTTCTTGTGATAAAAGGGGAACAAACCACCCCTAACCGAGGTAGAACAAAGCACAATCATTACGTTTTTAAAGTGGATGGTTGTGTAAGAAATATTTTATTGCAATTCAGTCAGACAACTCACGTGTTTCTTGATATGTTTATTATAAGCAGCATATAGTTTGAGTTTGGCGTCTAGCCTCAAGCCTCATCACTCCACAGATTTACAAAGAACATTGAGTGATGATTAGATAAATACCCCCCCGAGCCTACAGGTGGAAGCTGGGGGTGGAAGCTGGGGTGGAAGCTGGGGTGGAAGCTGGGGTGGAAGCTGGGGTGGAAGCTGGGGTGGAAGCTGGGGTGGAGCTGGGGTGGAAGCTGGGGTGGAAGCTGGGGTGGAGCTGGGGTGGAAGCTGGGGTGGAAGCTGGGGTGGAGCTGGGGTGGAAGCTGGGGTGGAAGCTGGGGTGGAAGCTGGGGTGGAGCTGGGGTGGAGCTGGGGTGGAAGCTGGGGTGGAAGCTGGGGTGGAGCTGGGGTGGTGGTGAGGTGGAAGCTGGGGTGGAGCTGGGGTGGAAGCTGGGGTGGAAGCTGGGGTGGAGCTGGGGTGGAGCTGGGGTGGAAGCTGGGGTGGAAGCTGGGGTGGAGCTGGGGTGGTGGTGAGGTGGAAGCTGGGGTGGAAGCTGGGGTGGAGCTGGGGTGGTGGTGAGGTGGGAGCTGGGGTGGAAGCTGGGGTGGAGCTGGGGTGGAAGCTGGGGTGGAAGCTGGGGTGGAAGCTGGGGTGGAAGCTGGGGTGGAGCTGGGGTGGAAGCTGGGGTGGTGGTGGGGTGGAGCTGGGGCAGGCAAGCAGCAGCAGCATGAAACACAGGAGCAGGAACATGAACGCAGCAATAGCAAGTGAACGCAGCAGTGGCAGCAGCAGCATAGCGAGGCAGAGGCAGGAAGACCTGGCGGCTTAAATAGAGCGGCATGTTTAGAAGAATGTGTTTGGTTGGTTGTAAGAGGGACGAGGTGCGTCACACATAATGTATCATTGGGCTCTAGTTGACTGCCTGAACTAGCTCGCAGGCTTCGCCCCATTTTTGGTCCATAGCCAAAAATGGTGAAAATGTAGTCTTCTCTTGTATCTCTGTAAGTAATGATCAGAGTGTCCATACATTTGGACTGGATGTTAACTGAGACAATAAAGCAAAGATTTCATCAATACCTTTTACTATCTTTGTAATACATATATAAACACACATGAATAATAGGTGGAAAATAAATTGGCAATTCAAAATCCAAAAGGTATGTATTTACTTTTCTGTTATTATTGAAGTAAGGAGCCAAATCACCAACTTCATTAATTATTAAGTACCAGAGACTGTTCTCTTTCTTAAAAGGAAGGAAGTCAGATGTTCAGGTTTCAAATGACATGAGTCATGTCGTGAACAAAACAAATTGACATATTTCAAGAGCAATAAGTATGAACTTTATTTAATTCATAATGTTGGTGCTTACCATTTTAAATATTACATTTTATCATCATCAACACAGTCACTTAGATATCTAAATGTATTTGTATAACATTCAAAGCTTCTGCACAGAATTCTTTTTTAACCCCTGATTTGTTTTGTATTTAACACAGTTCACATGCATCCAACAGAAATACAAGTTAAGCAATTACCAAGAAAAAGAACAAAATAAAAATCATGTGCCATGATTACGTTTAACGTGAGACAAATTAATGAAGAACTTTTTAATTTTGCGTGTATTTAATGGAGACAAAGAGCAGGAAACACTTCAACATTCACTGGTTTAGGGTCATATTCAAAGAACATTTAGTATTTACAGAAATCTTAATTTTAAGTGGCACACTAAGGCAAATAATTACGAAATACATTTGTTATCCTAAACCAAAAATACCTGAACATTTTGTAGAAAGCATTGAAATGATTGTCTTACCAAAATGTGCAATTCAGGAAGTAATGTAAGGTGTCCAACAAATGTTCTACAGTATTTAGTCTTGCGAGACAAAAGGAAGTGGGGACACACACACCAGGCTTTTGTATCTGCTGGATGCCATATCATGACCCATATTTCGTCTCTCTGCTAATATCCTGTTTTTAATTTCAACACACCACTCACTGCAATCCTGTAAGCCACTCCTTCTTAATGTGGAACATATAAGGCAAATCAATACAGCATTTTCTTTCAGTAGAAGTGAACTGAACGTCTTCCTTCCTCTTTGTGACTCAGGATGTTTGTAACACGGTTGAGATATTCTGCTTCTGCTGCGTCCTGAAAAATAAGAGGGGAGTTTACTGTAACTTAAAGAGGTTTAGTATCTGTAAAGATTAAAAATAGTTGCAGCATGTAATTTGTGTAGCCACAGAATAACAGTTATGTCTCAGGAGCTCACAACACCATACACTGTACAGCAGACGGAGCAATCAACCAAATAACTAAAAAGACCCTTTAAAGGTCACCTTTTATGCAAAATCCACTTGTTCATGTCTTTTATACATAAACATGTCTCCCTTCTGTGTTAAGAGATTCTGAAAGTTTCAGGAAAAAAGATTCCCTCTCTTTTTGTCCTGATCCATTTATATAACAACCTGTCTGAAAATGAGCTGATCAGATTTTGGCCACTTTGTGATGTCATAATGTTTTTTTGGGTTGTACAACCACTAGCCAATCACCAACCAAAGAAACCCCCGCCCACCTTATCCCCTGAATCTCCTCCTAGAGCACCATTGCGTTTGTTCAAACCAATCATCTCACAGAGGGGCGTGGCCAGCTGCAGCTCATTAGCATTTAAAGCTACAGACACAGAATCAGCACTTTCGGAACAAATACAAATAAACCTACAAATAAACCCTAGCTAATCGATTCCTAAGAGCTCAATTAGAAACTATTTTCAGTTGGTTTTATTTTGGTTTTCATGAAGTTACAGATACCTCTCCTCGTCTGGTGAATACCTTTTCTGGTTTAGAAGAGCGCCTTGATCTAAACCAGCTGGAAAAAAAGTAAAAACAAATATTTTGTTTATGTTGTGATGATAATGATCTACAGCCAAAGATACAAATCACTGTGTAGCTGCATATGTCATATCACACGAGAGTTTGTCTCACCATTCAAAGATGACCAGTGTACTGACGAGCATTATGATTCCCAGCATCTTCAGTATCAAATGACCATCAACCGTCTCATGATCACCTGCAACCCAACAGCATGGTCATCTTCCACTCACTGGGAAACAGAACATCTCAAACCATGACTCCGGCAGCTACCTTCAAATATCAACGCACGTCCTTTCGATAGTTGAAGGCCCAACACATTGCTGCACCCACAGAAATATGATCTGCCTCGATCACTGTTGGTGACTTCAAATACATAAAGCTGTGTGTTATCTCCCATCGTGTGCAGTCGGCCATCACTCATCATCATGAGCCAGGCAAAGCCGTCGGCAGCACGGATTCCTCTGCAGGAGCAAGTCAGATTCACCACGCTGCCGACTGACACAGGATCAGCTGGACTGACGACCACCGTGACATCTTTGGGAGCGTCTAGAGGACACATGGAACGATGAGAAAAGATAATTTGTCTTGCCAGCTGCTATCATTAATAAAATAATGTAATGTTACATGAAACATGGAGAGTCTTTGTCTCCTCTGCTGTCTTCACATCTTTCCCTTGATTCACAGGATAGCTGGCAGAGCAGGTGATGTTGAATCCATCATGTTGGTCTGTCAGAATGAGGGTCTTCTGGATCTTAGTCGTGAAGGTCCGATCTGGGTTTTCCTCCATTGTGTTGGGAGGGTCTTGTTGGAGAGTCCAGGTGAGTTTAGGAGGGGAGTGTGGACAGGGAGCTGGAGCTGAGCAGGTTACAGTGACAGACTCCGCCTCCTTCAGATCACCTGGGATCTCAATGGTGGGGCTCGGAGGAGAATCTGTGGAGTTTTCATACAGTAACAGATGTTATCATAAAATGAAAATAATACAGATTGGTCACAAATCTGTGTTATTGTATTGTATATTATTCAAGTGTGTCATTAAATACCCTAAACATAAATAAATAAAACCTTGACTTAATCTTGAAATAGTAATTATAGTGACTTAAAGAGGCCATATCATGTTTTTGGAGTCGTCCCATTCCTGTACAGTGTTAAATAGGTTGTGTGCATGTAAATGGTCTGCAAAGACTACAATCCTTTAAATTCCCTCCAGAGTGAGTTTCTCCCACAAATTCCCCGCCTGCCTGAAACGCCACAAATGTTTACTTCCGTAAAATAGTGACATCACTAGGTCCAGCTAACCAATCAGAGCAGACTGGGCTCTGGTTTCAGACAGAGGGTGAAAAGAGGTGCTGCAGCACAGGCAGTATGAGAAAAATAAAGAGCTTTTTGAACATTAAAGCATGGAGACATGTCCCAGTAGAGACACTAAATACTTACAGTATATGAAACGTGAGAATTTGTCAAATCATGTCAAATAAAATAAAACTATTCTAACAAGCGTATTTATAAAAGACTACGGTTTTGGAGTCCTTTAAGGTTTTGATTTGTGACGTGGAATAGGATACAATGAATTTATTTGTTTTTTAATAATGAGCACACTTCAGTCATCAAGAACCAGATGTGTTTTTTTTGTCCTAATCCTTTGGTGTGGTTTTGAAATGAAGTTTAGCGCAAATTCAATGAGGAAGACCAATCCTCTGGTGTTACACGTCATTTCAATAATCTCTCCTCTCCCAATAAGTGATCGGGGGCGTTACTCCCCAGCTAGCCAATCTTCGCACCCGCTAACCTCTTTAAATCTGCTCTTCCCTCTCTGTCAGTCGTCATTTCAGGCGTTAACGCACAACCCTCCTCCACCCCTTCACCTCCTGTCTCCTAATACAGGGCCAAGCTAAAAACTTCTCCCTTCAGACCAGACCGAACCACTTATCACCACCACCAGTGTCTAGACCCCGGGGGGTTCATCGGAGCGGTTTCCCCCTCCTGAATGATCATCCTGCAAACCGGGGCCTAATCACCAAACATTATTTCATTCACTTGTAGTAATCCGTCAATCGCTATTCCCTCATATCAGGCGTCCCGGTAATAAACATGTATTTCATACATCACGTCTCTCCTGATTGAAATGTACTTTCCTATCAGCATGTTACGTTCTCTAAAAGTAGGCCTATAGATTGACTGACAAAAACAAACTTCTCTCACCTTTAACTTTTATTTGAAGAGGATCACAAGTTTCCATTCTGCGCCGGTTGTCGATCCTAAAGAGGTAGCTGCCTGTGTAACTTGTGATTACACTGGAAAATAGGGTCGAGCAATCGTTCTGACTCAGGTCTCCAGTAAGACTCATCGGATAGATATTTTCCATCATGTTGCCGTTGAAAACCACTTTACTTCCAAAAATGTAATAATAATCAGATTTAATCCACAATCCGGATGTTGGTCCTGTACGGTCAAATGTCTCTTCTGCATTTATGCTGAAGTTACATGGGATCTGCAGACAGGATCCACTCAGTGCTTCCATCTCCTGAGGTGTGGTAACAAGAGGCTGAGCATGTTCAGGACAAGAAGCCAGAGCACCTGTGGAACAAATTCATGATTAGTTCACATGGAGAAAAAAATCAGCACGAAGGGAATGTTTATAAAAAATGATCCTACAGATGTTGTCTTTGCAGTGAGGGAACAGTTTACCTGAAACAAAGAAGACACCCAGTAACATGATGGCTGCCATTTTCACACACTGGTCTGCAGACACTTCTCACCTGGATTTAGAAACAGTGACAGTGCGGTTACATCCCATTCGTCGTCAGGATAAAACCCCGAAGTACAATTAATCAACTAAATACTTAATAACTATCTATGGGTACTTCTATTCATTGTACTCAAGTAGTTTCTTTGTATTGTACTTTTTACTCTACTAGGCTACTTCTATTTGATGACCTTAGTTACTTTGCAGATAAGGATTTCTAAACCTGCGAGATGAGACAATGGACTGCAAATGCAACAGCCAAACAGTATAAAAACTAAATAAAAGTACCTGCAACTTCAATTTGAAATGCATTTTATATGTTACTGCATCATTAAGAATAATATGAATATAGTATTTTACGTTTAGTATATGTTATTGATTGTACTTGCACTCTTTGATGTAAGTCAGATTTTAAATGCAGATTTACTATTTTTTTTAATTGTGGTATTAGTACTTTTAGTTAAAGGATAATTAAAATATATAATACTTCTTCCCCTCACTGATTTCTTCCTTTGGACATTGTACCCCATCTTGAATTGTTATATTCAATAATAATATCCGACAAAGAAACATGAAAATTGCAGTATTTCATCGTTTTATCAGACCCTATTTCTCTTATGATTGAAAAGATGAACAAAATAACTATGTGGCTTAAAACGCTATATTCAAATTCACTAAAAAGCAGTAACATTATTCATCTTACCTCGGGGGAAATGGAGAAAACTAGGCGTTGAACCTTACAAAAGACCAAAAGACTTACTTCCACATCGGTCGGGTAATACAAAAGGATGTGAAACAAGATTTAAAGCTTTTATAGCTGCTACACACCACATGACCCGTTTCTACAGAAAAGAAAGCACTTGAAACTATACTCATATCCTGTTATTTTATCACACAAGCACAATAATGGACACACTATAGTGACGGATTAAAAAATGTTTTGTCCTCTTCTTTTCATCTTTAACCCGATGTACTGTATTTTGTCGTACTTACATTTAATTTAATTTAAAATAAATATGTGACAAAATTCAAATCAATAGGATGGCAACAAATTGTTTTACAAATATGCTTTTATTCAATACCGGAAAACATACTTTGAAAAAAGCCTCAAACACTTATTTAGATATTCTTTTTTCATCAACAAAATCCTGTTGGTCATGTACATACAGGATTGTTCAGCTGAACCTGTAACATGCAGCTTTCTCCTGCCTCACCTGGAGCCAAACGTTGGTTTTAACACTTTTTATTTAATAGGATGATATTTATTACAATATGAAATCTAAAAGGAATCACAAGGGGCCCAATGCTCAGTCTATCTTCCCTTCTTGAATTTGCCCGGCGTGGCTCCGGTCTTCTGCTTCTTCTTTGCAGATCCTTTAAGCTCAGGTTCCTTAAAGAAAAGCAGAAAAAACAAATCCATTTAGGTTCAGAGAAAATGCAACGATCCCATTGTTTTGGATTCACAGTCACTCTGATATTGCTCTGAATGTACCTTCCGCTTGGAGGACAGAGACCCGGTGACGCTGAAGAAAGAGTCGAGTCGTCCCTGAGTGCTGCCCTGTCGGCTCTTGGAGATCTTCTTACAGCCGTTACGGATCCTGTCCTCGCTGCACACAAATGCATCAATCGATAAATACAAATGCACATTATCGTTATCGTCCAGTGACATTTCCAGGTGAACTTTGCACACATTATTTCTCAGCAATAAACAAGCATTTAAACCAGCATTTAGAAGATGGTCACGAACAGACTCAGGTATGTGCTCTCAACCTGGGGCTCGATCATTTGGAGAAGGATTTGCGATATGACTTTCAATATTAGAGAGTATGCTTTTTTAAAAATGTTCTTTAAGATATCTTTGGGCCTTTATTAGAGACACCACGCTGAAAGGGGGAGAGAGGGGATCACATTGCCTGCATTTTTTTTTGTAAACATTATTCACGATAAGGGTGAAAAATATATCAAAGTGATCTTAGTTTGATTTTAAAAGGATCTATACTGAACAAGGACTTTTTAATAAGTCTTTAGAACACCATTTGTAGGTCTGGACTTTAATAATTAATCTCGAAAGGTTTTTCAACATATGTTGCTCACTGATATGGCATTAGTCATTTTTAAGATTTTTATCAAATTAAGATGGATGTTGCAGCTGCATCTAAACCACATATATGACGGGAAAAGGCCATATAAGTGATGCTTGGACTACAAACTCTGCCTCTGTGACTGGCAGCGCAGCCTAGTGGTCAGACGGTGTATACACAGCTGATCTGCTCATATAATCATTGCAATAACACATGTCATGATCATCATCAAAGCAACAGATCCCAATGAATCTCTGCTGGTTCACCTGAACTGTTTCTCGCTACACATGTACTGGATCAGCCCCTCCTCATCCGGCTCCCCCCACTTCAGATCCACAGTGGAACAATCCACCACTTCTGCATTTAAAAACAAAGCTCTGGCCTCTCTGTAGAGCCAGTCCTCTGGAGGGGGGTGCTTCTGCATGAAGGAAAAAAAGGACATAAACAATGAGAAACGAGAACTCATTCATTAAACTTCCTGGACGTATGGATGGTAGCAGACGTGGATTACCTTGGTGTCGATGTTTTCGAGGATCTCCTCAATGCTGCCGTGCTGCTTGATCAGGTCGATGGCCCTCTTGGGACCGATTCCCTTGATGGTGCCGCAGTAGTCACAGCCCAGCAGGATACACAGGTCTATGAACTACAGGAGGAGAGAGGCGGAGTTAATGCAAACATATCACCTGTGTACCTGGTCCAACGGTGGTTATATTCCCACAGTGCAAACTCCAAATAAAAAATATATATTTGTATTATTATACAAATTACTGCAGCAATATTTCTTTACCTGTTCATTGGTGAGGCCGATGTCCTGCAGGATGCGACTGAAGTGGAACTCCTGGATAGGAAGTTTCCTAAAAACAAATACATTTTGCAATGATTTATCAAGTCCATAAAATAAATAAATTCTTATTACTATTGTTTGTGTTTCAACACAGGGCATATCATCTCCTCTTCAGGAACCTCTGTGCTACAGAGGCTGAGAGCAGTGGGTATGAACGATGCAGTGACTGTGGGATGCAGGTGCTTACTTTGCTTCACTGGCGGTCATGTGTCTGAGCAGGATATTTGTCCCAAAGGTCAGCCCGTCCATATCCTCCGTTGCTGTTCCAAACACCTTCCCTGCTTTAACCAGAGCAGCACAGCTGGCCTCCGCCTCACACGGAGCCTACAGGACAAAACACATCCAATGATATTTCCAATGATGATTCCCTCAGACCTGTTCTGCTGCCGTTGATCTCTCTGACATCTCTCTGAGGGCTTAGAGTAGGAGGCATTTCACTGTACATTCACTTTAAATGTACTTCATAATTTATCCAAATGTATAAAGCGTGAGAGGATTCAGGTTCAGTTGTTAAGGCACACAAAAATCTACTTTTTCTTTTTGGAGATAATAACCATGCACTTGCAAAAACCTCATGATGGGATATATTTTACAAGACTTATTGGAAAAGTCTCTTTTGATACAAATCCAGTAAAAGTGAGAGTAGATCTTACCTCAACGTAGGGCACTCCCATCAGGGTCAGCAGCTTCTTGCACTCGTCGTTATGATGCTTGGTCACTTTTACCAGACGCCTGGTGAATTTGTCGATATTCTCTTGCTCCCCTGGGTCAAGACAAATCATTTCAATAAACATTTACTTCATAACCAATGCAACAATCTCAACCATGTAAAAAAGACTGATGATGTTGGTTTACACCCCTGCTAATAACCAAATATACACACTGATTCTGATCCACCACATATGACAAATGTTAAAGAAAGGGATACAAATATTAACTGTACCCATTTCCTGAGCTTGAGCAAGCTGCTTCTCAGCTTCCGCCCTCCTCTCCCCTCGCTTCTCCAACTAGGGGTGACAAGAAGAGCAAAGATAGAGTAAGAGAATGAGTTAACAAAAGACAGGACGTAGGGTTTTAAAAAGCAAACATAAATAATGATCTCAATAATACAGTGAGTGCAATTGTAGTTTCCCCCTTTTGATTACCAAATAGCTAACACATGTAAACAGCAGTAAAACGTTTACATGGCATTTACTGATCTATCAGACAACAGGAAATCAGAGCTCATACTAACCTCTGCTGACTTGAGCTGTGGGGGCTTTCCGTCAAACACGTACACAGGTTTGATTCCATATTCCAGCATGCGGATCGTCCGGTAGAACATCCCCATCAGGTGGCTGAGGAAAGGAGGTGGCAGAAATGTTTCAGCATTGGGTCCAGATATGAGCTACGTAGTCTAGGATCAAGAAAATAACTACGGCCTCTTTAGTGTGTCTCCTATTACGACTTAATGTCTGGCTTTACCTCGTCGTCTCGCCATCCTCATTCTGCAGTAGGTTCCCGTCCTGTCTCACAGCGATCAGGAACTGGTAGATACACATGGAGGCATCTATTGCAATTTTCCTACCTGCAAACGTTTAGAAAAGCAGTTAGCTAACTATAAGGCATGTTTATAGGGCATTGTGATCTATGACATGGTTTCTATGCAAGGTTTCTATCATTCACTATATAATGGCTCTTATTTCTGGAAGTGATTCATCCTCCATCTCTCATATCCCCATACCATCTGATACAGCATTGATCCCAGGGGAGATCATTAAACTGTCATCTGATCTCTTTCACATTTCTAGTACAGTCATCAATAAGTAGGGAAAGGGACCTGTAACATTTACCAAAGTAGTTCTTGATGTCTTGCTCTTTGATGGCACCAGGGGCCTGATCAGCGATCAGTTTAGTAAGCCCGTGAATTCCCATTGTGTTTGGCTGAAGCTCAAACTGAAATCACAAAAATCTGAAAAACAATGAAATGATGTTTAATTATTATTCTGTTGTCACACACACACACACACACACACACACACACACACACACACACACACACACACACACACACACACACACACACACACACACACACACACACACACACACACACACACACACACACCACACACACACACACACACACACACACACACACACACACACACACACACACACACACACACACACACACACACACACACACACAACACACACACACACACACACACACGCAATTGAGGTCTTCCAGTGTTGTTTAGCATATAACATTACACGACTCTGTTTTTAAAGTTTACATTGTGTTTACATGCGTCCTACTTTGACTGATGCATGCCGAAGTAAAGATTATTCAAGGAAAAGCTACCATACGCTTGTTTATATGATTGTGGATGACGGGGAAAGAAGGACATATTCAATGTTCAGTTTTTGAGGGGGATTTGGTTTGCAGGACAGACCGTGTCATGGTGGTGAGTAGCTTTGTCACACAACGCTTTAAAGCTGCAGCTGCTAGGCTAAATCATAATCAATGTCACATGAATACTTATTGTACATGCTAGCAGGGGATAGCATTATTGTATCGTTGTACTTTACACTTTCGATTAAGTTAATCCATTTGTGTTTATTAACTCACCACGTAGCTGTTTCCCTCGAGTCTGTGAGCACTGTGGCGGGTCTCTTTAGCGGGAAATCAAATATCAGACATCGCCTATCAATCTATCGAGCTCGTTATCTTCAGAGACACTGAAGAACTGCGCATCGATTGTGCACGTTTGATTAACCAGGTCTGAGTTCTAGTGAGGAAGTACTGGAAGGGCATTCATTGGTTCATTGAGGTTGAAGGAAATCCGGTCAACACAGCATAATAACAGAGTCGCTTATGTCGAGGGTTCAAAAGGTTTGAATTGTGTTTTTCGGTTACGTTACAGCAGTAAAATAAACCTGGTTAATGTCGAATGGCTCGTGAGAGGAATATTTCCCCGGCTGTGAATTACCGGTAAGGTCGGAGGTGTGTTTTTGTTTCTCCGCC